TTGCCCAGACGGATTGCCGGGCCCCAGAAGCCCCCAAAAGAGCACATGGCAGATGGCTTCACCTTTCTCGGAGGAAGACGAGCTCTCAGACAGCGGTTATCCTGCAGGTCTCCGAAACAACAGTGGCCCAGATGACCCGCCCCTGCCGGGCAGCCTTCCTGCATTCAAAACACATCCATTGACCCCCTACTTCTGCAAGGGGGTGGTTTTCATGGCTTTCTTCCTGTTGTTCTTTCTAACTTCGGGGGACAAAGAATTGAGATCCTTTACTTCTAAGCAAGCGGCTCACTCTATCTCTGATCCCCTTACCGGCCCCTCACTTCCCCTTAGGCGTCCCTGCTCACCTGTTAGATAAACAATCATTCATGCCTCTGTCTTAGTAAAATGCGTAGTGCTGCTTTGTGTGTCGATGTTCTATATTCCTATAAATGGTATGGTGCTGTGGAGTTCTACTTCTCCCACCATACTCCATGCCTTTAAGAGGGACCTATCCTTGGGGCGCCTGGGTGGGTTAAAGCCTCTGCCTTAGGCTCGGGTCATGGTCCCAGGGTCCTGGGATCGGGTCCCGCATCGGCCTCTCTGCTCAGCAGGGAGCCTGCTTCCCCCACTCTCTCTCTCTGCCTGCCTCTCTGCCTACTTCTGATCTGTCAGGTAAATAAATAAATCTTTAAAAAAAAAAAAAAAAAGAGGGACCTATCCTTCTTCTGAACACTGTCTCGTGTTCTGCAGGCGGCCATGTTTTATCCATGGGACTGTCCTAGATGGACAACCAGGTCACCTCTACCTCCCAGCCACAGAACTGCACTGCAAAGAACATCGTTTCGCACCTACCCGAGAAGGACACCTTCTCTGACGGGGGCTGTGAGAGGCCAGGGCGGGGAACGACAAGATATTGAAGTCTGTCTGTACTCCGTTTCAGAAGTGCTAACAGAGTCTTCTCCAGAATGGCCATGTTGGTTTATATGCCCCTGGCATTTCCTGAGGGGTCCTGTGTGCCCACATCATCACCGATGTTTGGTATCATTCTTTCTTCTGCTTGATTGGAGGATAATTAACATACGTTGTTCTTTGGGTTTCAAGTGTGCAAAATAATCATTCTCCATTTCTATACATTCTTCCGTGCTCACTGAGGTGAGTGTGCTCTTAAAATCCCCTTTACCTATTCCATCCATCCCCCACCTATCTCTTGTTGGTTCTCTGTATTTGTCTACCTTTTTTATTTGTCTCTTTTCTTCTTTGTATGTTCATCTGTTCTGTTTCTTAAATTCCATACATGAGTGAAATCTTATGGTATTTGTCTTTCTCTGACTGACTTATTCCACTTAGCGTTATACCCACGAAGTCCATCCATGCTGTTGCAAATGGCAAGATCTCCTTCTTTTTTATGCTACATACCACCTCTTTGTCCATTCATCTATGGATGAACACTTGGGTTGCTTCCATATCTAGGCTCTTGTAAATAACGCAGCAATAAACATAGGTGTGCCTGTATCTTCTTGAGTTAGTGTTTTTGTTTGCTTTGGGTTAATACTCAGCAGTGAAATTACTAGATGGGGTAGTAATTTGATTTCCAATTTTTTGAGGAACCTCTGTGCTGTTTTCCAGAATGGCTGCACCAGCTGGCATTCCCACCAACAGTGCACGCAAGTTCCTCTTTCTCTGTATCTTCGCCAACTCTTATTGTTTCTTGTGTTGTTGATTTGAGCCATTCTGACCAGTAAGAGGAGACATCTTACTGTGGTTTTTCTTTGCATTTCCCTGCTGATGAGTGATGTTGAGCATCTTTTCATGTGTCCGTTGGCTATCTGGATGTCTTCTTTGGAAAAATGTCTACTTAATTTGTTTTAACCAATTGTGATAGGTACAGAATGTTACCTACATGCTTTACTTTTGATTTTGCTGATTATTAGAAGGTTGAACACCTCTCTGTAGGTGTGTCAGCCATCACCCCTTTACCTAGTCACTGTTTTCCCAGGCTGCCACCCCCTGCTGACTGTCTTTAGTGACTCTTAGGGAAATAAAATGCTTAATTTTGATGTAGTAAATAAATTCCTTCCTATTATTGTAGGTCCTTTTCTCTTCCCTAGTAATCTCAACTGTCACTTTAAATTTGTTTCCATATTTTTCCACTAGTCCCCCAAAACTGAATTCCATGTCTGAGTCTTACTCTGGTTTTCTCTCTGTTAGGCATACTCTCTTCCCATGGGCTCCACCAGTTCAATCCTTACCCAGACTTTTTTTTTTTTTTAAGAGATAGAGTGTGAACTGGGGTGGGGGGCAGAGGGAGAGAGAGAATCTTAAGCAGACTCCTAGCCCCCGTGTGGATCCCAATGTGGGGCTCAATCTCACAATCCCGACCTGAGTTGAAATCAAGAATTAGATGTTTAAATGACTGAGCCACCCAGGCAACCCCCCCACCCAGATTCTTTTCTTTTGTTCCAACTTTGCACATCACCTTGCTTGCATATCAATTCAGCATCCCATACCTCCTGAAGTTAGTCATTGTGATCTCCATCTCCCCTGTGAGATTAAAAGTCCCTTGAAGGTGGGGCTTGAACTCCACCTGCCTTGCCATTCCCAGGTGAGCTGCACAGTGACCGGCAGACAGCAAGGAATTGGTAAGTTCCTATTGAACATATTAAATAGATCTTTTTAAGAAAGTGTACAGCCTGAAAAATAAGCTAGTCTCCAGCCAGCATTTTCATGCCCCATTGAAATGTGCTGACACTTAAAGAAAAGTCCAATGTGAAGTCCAGCTAGAACCTTCTCCTTTGGAGTAGGTGAAGGCATGGAAGGAATTTGGAAAATCCAAGGCTGCAGACTTAACAGGTCTCTATAGGAAAGACAGATGTGAGAGGAGAACATGGGGAACAGAGAAAGTACTAGATCTTTCCATCAAGGGGTGAAGATGTCTGATCATCCTATTTCACAATGGTGTGCCTTCTGTCTTCTGGTTATTGATTATTGGGGGTGATCTGCCACAGATTTGTCCTTAAAGCTGTGGTGGTGATCTATGATTGCCTCTCCCAGTTCTGGGGGGTGACTGGGCTCAACTGGGCAGTTCTTGCTTGGGAGATGGGGTTGGACAACCATTACAGTTAGACTATGGCTCTAGCTGGAATCATCTGGAGGCCTTCTTCACTCACATGTCTGGTCCATGGGCTTGACCAACTGGGCCACTGGACCATCCCTTGAGGTGTTCTGTCCGTGAGGTCTTGCCATCTTGGTGGCTATCGGTAGCCAAACTTCTCACATGGCTGCACAGGGCTTTAAAGGCATGGGTCTGAGGAGTTGGAGAAAATGAGCAAGCAAAGCAGGAGGAAGCCATTCCACCTTGCTAACCTGGCCTCAGGAGTTATGTGGCAGTGTCTCCAGCATCTCTGTTCATTGGGGGCAAAGACCCACCCAGGTTCAGGGGGAGGAGAAATAGACCTCACATCTTGACAGAGACCAGAAAGATTTAGAAAAAACTTTGGAATTCTGAAATATTACTATGACCATTTTTGGAAAATACAATTGCCTCCGGCTTGTATCTTCAAACCCCAAAACCAGGCTGAAGGTATGACAGTGTCTCAGTTGCCCTGTCTGAACAATGAGCCAACTGGGGAGGCCAGTGGTTTTAAAATTTATTTATAGTAACTTTCATCTAACAAATCTTTTTCTGAAACTCAAAATAAAGAGCCAGTAAGGATGAAGTTTCTTTTCTTTTGTTCCAACTTTGCACATCACCTTGCTTGCATATCAAGGAGTAGATGTCTGCAAGTGGAGAGCTGGCTGGGGCTGGCTGCATGGGCTGTTTGTGCTTGTGGTGTTGCGATTAAGGAGCATTGATTGGTCTTGGCTTCTAGTGAAAGGAAATCATTCCTGCAGCCTCTGAGGTTCTGGTTGCTGATTGCCTGGGGGTTATTTGTTTATTTAAGTGAAGAAAGTAATGGGCAGTGGCGATGTTACCTTGGAATACAGATGCCACAAAACCCCCAACCATTATAGCTTCCTCTTTCTGCACTAAGGCTCTAAGCTGGCTTCAGCTTGGAACCTTCCCAGCTTTGACAATTGCACAGCCTCGGGGGAGAACCCTGGTCCCAGGAAGGACTGGGCTTTCTTCCTGGCTCCTCAGCTTGTGCCTACAGATCAAATAAACCCCCTTCTGCGGCCACTCCCATTACCCAGGCTGCGAGCTGATTGACTTAACCCATCAGAGATAGATTACCCTTGCAATAGGTGCTTGAGAGTAATGGTACCTGGGAGGGACAGGTAAGCAAAAAGGGAACAAACCCAGGCAATTTTCAGACATCGCCACTGCCCATTACTTTCTTCACTTAAATAAACAAATAACCCCCAGGCAATCAGCAACCAGAACCTCAGAGGCTGCAGGAATGATTTCCTTTCACTAGAAGCCAAGACCAATCAATGCTCCTTAATCGCAACACCACAAGCACAAACAGCCCATGCAGCCAGCCCCAGCCAGCTCTCCACTTGCAGACATCTACTCCACACAGAGTGGGGCTGAGACCCCTCTTTTCCATGTCCCGAAGTAGGGAAGGGCAATAATTAAAGGAGAAGACCAGCCCCATCACACGCAGCTGGGGCTCTCTGCTGGGTAAGGCAGTGGATATGGTCCAGTGTGCTGAGACTGAGGGAAAAATGAAGCATGAACGGGATCTTGGACGTTGGAGGTTCTGTGAGAAAACACAGGGATCATCTTCCATCACCAACTTCTAGAATCTACTCTGCATTCCTTGAACGTGTCTGGGGACGATTGCTAGCAGAACCCTTCCTTTTCCCAGAGCACAACCTTCCTTTTCCCAGTGAATGGAACCCAGTGGGACAGGAACCATGCTGACCCTTGAGCCAAATGAACAGGTAGTGAGCCATAGTGAGTGGTCAGAAACTACCTTCTTTCACTTGAGTTGTGCTCCCAATCCAGCACCTGTCCCCACAGGCCCATTCTGAAGTTTGTCTCAGGGAAGAGTCCATGGAACACACATTCCCATACCTACCTCAACCTTGACTTTTGCAGTGGTGTCATCTCTGATTATGAAATCAGTGAGCAGCTCAGTATCAATGTCAGCCTTCCCTCCCGGGGTAGCCAGGAAGAAATGCTCACAAATAATGTTGTCTTATCTGTTGCAACAAGAGAACAAGATTCAGTAAATGTCAAATTTCTACCATTTTTATATTACTGTCATGTATTTGGCCATGCCCTGCATTTTATTTATTTTTTCTTTATATTGAACTCACTTTTATAGGAAAACAAAAGAATATTTATTTTTAAGGAAAACTTTTTATCACTGCCCAAACTGGAAAACCAATACTGCACACCATAAATAGACTATGACTATAAAAATTAACACAATGGGAGTTCACGGCGGATTAAACACAAATGTCTTACTCGGCTCATTGCTAAAACCCTAATAAAATGACACTTAAGGGATCAAAAACAAAAAGGCATAAATCCACAGGACCAAAAAACAAAAAACCAGAAGAGTAGCTAGCAAATGACAGATGTCAACCAAATTTTGGAGACTAATGAAAGAATAGATTAATTGGGTCAGTGAGGAAGAAAGCAAAGAGGTAAGCTGTTCTGACCAAGAGTGCCTCTAAAAATCTCCTGGAAAGGTGGGAATTCAGGTAGGGCTACAGTCAGTAAAATGAATGGAAAGCCTGAATTAGAATCTATCAGAGCCCTAGATTCCCTCTCCCAACAACTTCCTGCTGGGAGACCCCAATTCCACCCCAGGGGAAGATGGACAGTTTATTATTTGTCAAGGTTGGTAATAAAATCAGTCCTTCCATCATTAAAGGACCTTTATGACACATATTCTAAAAGTTGAAAAGGCAGTTAACAACATACACAAATCCTTAGTGTTTTACTACCTGGAGGACACACTCTTCTTAGGCACCTGGCCTGCTTGTGCTAAAATGGTAAGGCCCGAGGGGGACCCTGTGGACTCTGCAGCTTCTGTTATAATTAGATAAGAAAAGGTATTACATCCACAACATAGAAACAGAAGTATAAGAAGGAAGATTCAGGGAAAGTTTAAAGAAAAACCAGTTAGAGGAGAACAAATAAAGGATAAGAAAAAAAGTGAATCATTTCAGGTCTGCCATTTAGATAATAGACATTCCAAAGGACAAAAAAAACCCCAAAACAAGCAAACAAACAAACAAACAAACAAACAAACAGAAAAGCCAAAGAAAAGCAAAAACAAACAAACAAACAAAAATCCCAGAGGATACAGAGGGGAGGAAATTATCAAAGAAATAATACAAGAAAATCTCCCAGAAACTAAAGATTTTGGCTTCCTACACTCCCTCCCTCCTTCTCTCCCTCCCTCCCTCCCTCTTTCCTTCCTTCCTTCCTTCTTTCTTTTTCGAAAGATTTTTTAATTTACTTTTTAAAGAGAGAGAGTACAAGTGGGGGCAGGGGCTCAGGGAGACAATCTCGAGAAGACTCCATGCTGAGCAAGGAGCCCATTGAGGGGCTGCTCAACCAACTGAGACACCCAGGTGCCCCAAGACTTTGGTTTTCTGGTTGAATGGCTCCACTGTGAACCCCTCAGAAGGAATGGACAAATAACCTCACCAAAAGATATCATCATGAAATTTCAGAGCAGCAGAAATAGAAGGGCCTAAAATCTTCCAGAGAGAAAATTTAAAAAGAAAATAACAACATAACCAGGTATATAAAAATGTAAGAATGAGTGAGGCGGTAGTCTTTCTCAGCAACCCTAGAAGCCCAGGAATAGTAGTACCTTTACAATTCTGAAGGAAAATTACTCCAACCCTTAAATTTTATACACAGCCAAACTATCAATCCAAAAGGGAAGGGAAATAATAGACATTTTTTTCAAAGGTACTTAATGGTGTCCAAAATTTGCACCCTTTCTCAGGAAAGTATCAGGGATGTGCTCCACCAAAACAAGGGGGTAAATCAAGAAAGATGAAGACATGATACCCAGGGCACAGGAGCTTATGCTTAGAACAACAGCAAAGGAAGCCCTGGTGACAGCTGTGCTGTAGGCCTGGGAAGCCACAGGATCAGATGGGGCAGGAGGGTGGATGGCTCCAGGAGGGATGTCTCCAGGAATAAATGGAACTGACAGATTAACTGACAGGTGTGGCCGGGTGTAAAATTGGATTGAAGGCCTTTGTACAGAGCTACTGGAGGGTGTGGGAAGAGTCACCCAGACATTCAAAGAGCACCAAGCCAACGGAGGCAAAGGCCAGGAGAGAATGACATCCTAAGACACTACCCAACTAAGCTTGTGAATAATATTTACCCATTCATCATCATGAAAACACTAAATCTGGATTTAATTAAAGAAAAAAAAAATACTACAAACCCATGGCAGGAAGTTTGAAGGAGGAGAGAATCAGTCTAAGTAAGAAGTGGTCTAAGAGACAGCTCATTGTTTATATGTGGAAATTAATAATATCTACCCGATGTGTGAGAAAAATCAGGAGACAGTAGCATACACATGTCATCTAAAATTACAGAGAGAAAAAAAAAACCCAGAAGAAATTTCCGTAAGAATCAATAGTGTTTGTTTCAGGGAATTTGAATTTGGGGGCTAGGGGTAGGGGTGGACCAAGGGCCTTGCTGTTTATTATAAGCCTGATACTCTTCAGTTATGGATTAAGTAGTGTTGCTGTATAATTTTGACCCAACTTTTTAAAAGAATCAAAAACTAACACAACTAAAAAAAAACACCCTGTTTACATTTTTGCTAGCTATCATTGCCAGTTGAAAAGCTCTGCATCCCAAGGCCCATGGTTTATTTTAAAAAGGAGATTGGGAAAAATCTGAGAGGAGACAGAGACAAGCTAGTACCTGTTAGAGATTCCTCCAACGCAGGTAATCAGAAAGATAGAAAGAGGCCAAACAGGAGCTCCTAAAACCTGACCCACACAACCTGTTGCCCAGACCAACCCAAGTTCATTGTTAACACAGCAAAGGAGATTAGGACTCTGGCAGAGTTCTGGTGGTGTCTCAGGGCATATTACACCAGGCCAGAATCAGCTGAGAAAACATGGTTTCAGGGGGGTGTCTCAGTTCAGGATTGGTGGAAACAGCAGGGAAAGGATTTTGAGAGGACAGAGTCAAAGGAATCTTAGGGCATAAAATGTCTGCTGGTGTGTTCCCTGGAGTGGATGGGTCTTCACAGAATTCAGACACTTGGCCTGAGCAGGACTGTCTTGGAACGTGGTCAGGCTCACAAAGACCTGAATGTGGTCAGGCTCACGTGAGTAGTGAAGGCAGGTTACCTTGGGCGGTGGGGGGGCCTGTTCTCAGTGTCAGGCTGAGTGTCAGTGCAGATGGATTGAGTTCTTAAAGAAAACAAGAAAGGAATAATTGACCGATATTAATGAATGTCACCTTTGTGGATCATCTGCACCCAATGTTCCTTGGCTCACATTTTGGGACAAAATGAGTATCATGATAAACAAAGTGTTATGATAAAAAATGCTACTTATACTCTTGGTGATTATTAGACTTCAAAACTTAAGGGCCTGAATCTTTGATGATCTTTCTCTTTCTTCAGTGATTTAGAAACAGTGAGAGAGAGAGAGAGAGAGAGGCCTAGTCTCGAGCCAGATCCCTTGGTCTCACAGCCTGGTTGCAGAATGACATGTTTGAGGCACTTGCTTTTGTACCTTTTTCAAGGTTCCAGAGTTCTTGGGATTTGAATATTTGAGGCATTTCATTTCAGTATATGTTCAAAAATATTAATATGGCATTATATTGTTATTTTATTTTATTATTATGTTATATATTATATCCTATTATTGTATTTCATATTATATCATTATTGTACTACATTATATTATACTATATTATATTATGTATTAAATCCACTAAAAGATTTTGAATAACACCCAATGGAAGGCAACGACCCACATTTACTGGCTGTGCTTACTACATCCTCAGATGTTTCCCAGTCACCTGTGCTGGCCTTGCACAGATGGGAGTAACTGTGCCCATGAGGGGTCCATCGAGAACTCCTGATTGGGGTGGTATGTGTCCAGATAGCCGTGGTTCCCAACTACCGCCTGCCTGCTCACGGATCCCATACCTGCTTTTGAAGGTCCCCCCTCTCCTGAGAAAGCGTGCTGCGTGATATTCTCTCCCCACATATAAAGGTCGTTTTCCAGTAAAAATAGGATCGAACCTGGTTATTTACTTTCAGAAACAAATGTGTGAGCAAACCTCTTCGCCCTGTGTCTGGGAAGCAAGGCCCTCTCCTTGCGGTGTCCTGGGAGCAGGCTCTCCCAAAGCCCAGGCCTGCCAGGGTGACTTCTCCCTTCCCTTTCCCATGTGTCCTGCACCTAGATAAAGGGATCGGTGTGGATGAGTTTTAGACCAGGTCTGAAGATCAGTGAGGCAGAAGACCCCCTCAAAGGCAACCCCCTCAAAGGCAGCCACCATTCCCTTGGCCTGAAAATCGCTTCTGCTCTCAGCAGCAACAATACCAGGCCCACAGGTTCAGGGGCAACCCTGAGCTGAAGTTTCTTTCAGATTCCAACTCCAGAGGCTGATGGGGGATATTTTAAAAGTTCAACCCACTCACAAAGGCCTTGGGGCGTGGGGTTGCCTGTGGCAAGTTCTCTGATGCCACCGGCTATTGCCTAGAAAAGCAAAAAAAAACAAAAGCAAAAACAAAAACAAACACATAAAACCTACCAAACAACAACAAAAACCACAAAGGGGGCAAATAAACAACAACAATTCTGCTCTATTTACTTTTTTAAAGGCTGGCTTTAAAGGCCAAGTCAGGTTGGGTTTTGACAGGTGGACTGGGGGCAGAACAGGAGCCACTGGCACTGGGCAGTGCTGCCAGACTTCCTCCTCAGGAAGGCCTGCAGGACAAGGTCCCAGTGCCTCACTTGCATCCCCCAGCCGCACCCCTCCCTGCCCATTCCACCCGCTAGACCCAGAACAAGACAGGAGATTTGTGACCGCTGATGTGTGGCCCGTCCGAATGAAGGGGGCTTTTCATTAACAAAGTAGCGGGCGGTGTCATCTTCCCCTGAGTCGGAATCATTCACTATTAGCACAATGTGTTATTATTGTATTTTTAATTGAAATGTAAATTCTGGGGACACTCTGACCCAATTTACTCCCAGGGAAAAAAGGGCAAAATTCTCATTTTCAAGGCTCTAGAAATGCAAGTTAGTGTTATTAATGATTAAGCTCTTTTTCCTTCCCCCCTGCTGTGGGGTGGGGGCCGGAGTGGGGCTTTCTTATCCGAGCACAATGGTAACGTTACCCAGTCCTCGGAGCACACTTGATCGGCAAGGTAGATCTGAGTGGGAAGCTCACATATTCCCCCCGCGGTCTGTCCTGGGGTTCACACCTGGTCCGGGAAGTGGCCAGAATGTATAGATGTGGTTTCAGGTTTTAAATGCCCATGATGATTGATGTGTGATTAAATGATTGATTTGGAGAGGAGATTCTTGTCTCCTCTATTTTAAAGAAACTTGCTTTGTATAAACAGAACTGCATGGAGACAGGATGATTTGGGTGGGGGGTTGATTCAGGCTTTGTCCACGAACATTGCAGTGCTCACACCCCACTAGTTGATAATTCTAGAACTGACACCAGAACACAAAGGGTGGTGAGCATTTGCAACCCGGACTCTCCTTGCACCGACAGGGGAGAGAATTCACTCTACCAACAAATTTTATGGAGTACCTACTAAGTGCCGACCACTAGGAGATTGATGGGAAAGCAAAGATGAATAATTTAGAGAAGTACTTCTGCCCTCCCTCTAAGTGTCAAGGACAGCTCAGAGGTCACCTTCATAAGAGAGGTATCCTACCACCTGTCTAAGACACTCTATGCACTCTCTTCCCCCAGCCCTTTAAATATTCTCCTCATTGAGCTCATCGTTGCTGGAAATGATCTTGCTCACTTGTCCTTTCATTTATTGCTCATCTCCCCTCACCAGCCTACTCCCCCGAGAATGCAAGTGCCACAGAAGGTCCCCTTCTTGACGATCCCCAGTGTATCCCCAGAACAGAGATGCCTGACACTCACCAGCAATGAATAGTTCTCATAAGAGGACAACTACAGTATTAAAAAGCTCAAAAAGTCCATTGGGCTCCAAGACCTACTGTATCTCCTACCAATGCTACACACTGTGTTCCAGAGAAATGAATAAAATGCAGCTTTAACCAGGAGGGAGCTCAGAGTGAGTGCAAAAGACAAATAATACAATACAGTCCTGTGTAAGGGGCGCCTGGGTGGCTCAGTCAGTTAGGCATCTGCCTTCAGCTCAGGTCATGATCTCAGGGTCCTGGGATTGAGCCCTGCATCAGGTTCTCTGCTTGGTGGGGAGTCTGCCTCTCCCTCTGCCTGCTGTTTCCCTTGCTTGAGCTCTCTCTATCTCTGTTTCTCTTTCTCAAGTAAAATCTAATAAATGAGGAATGAATGAATGAATGAATGAATGAATTGGCATGCTTTAAAATAAAACAATACAACCAGTATGATCACATAGACCATGGTACTCAACTGGGGGTGACTTTGTAGCCCCCTACTCCAAGATCCTGGGCTGTGTCTGGAGATCTTCTTGGCTGTCACAACTAGGGGAAGGTGTCACTGGCCACCCAGTGCAGAGAGGCCAACAGTGCTAAGCACCTTGTAATGCACAAGGATTTAAGCCAAGAATGAAAAAGTCTTTGGTTCAGAATGTCAGTTATATTCAGATTAAGAAGCTCTGTTGTAGACAAAGAATTGTATCTAGGATTAATCATGGAGGCAAAGGTAGGGAGGAGGGAGGCCCTGGGGTTCCTGGTCTGGGCAGGCCTCACAGAAGGTGTGGCGTGCAATGCACACCCTTGACCCCTGAAGTCACGTCTACATCAAGCCAGAAGAACGAGGGTTCTAGATGTCTGCTAACCCTCCCTCTCTCATCGGCTTGGATACGTGACCCCTTCTGCCAGGACGCTCAATGGAATCCATCATTTTACAGAAGGAAAGGTTGAAGTCTGACAAGGGAACAGACGGGAAGATTACCTAGTAACCGTCTGGTAGTGAAGGCTGTTACAGTGTCTGGTTAGAGAACGGAAGACTGCCTAGGCTGGCGCTGCATCTGGGGCGCCTCCCCTCTCACTTTCCCTCCAAGTAAAGGACCAGAGTTGTGCACGCTGCCTGGTCTGGTCACACTCACAAGCCAGAAAGGACCAAATCCAACATCCCCTTCAACTCTACATCTGCCCATCTGCAGAAAGAGGGGAGAGAAGAGCCTTTTAGCTCAGGCTCTTCATGTTACTCTTAAATTATGTGTGGCTTCCTTTAGCAAAACAAAAATAAACACAGGTTAAGAGAGAAATAATGGGCAAAAACTGAGCTGTAGGCAGGGACCCCGGGATTTCGAGACTTCAGGCAGGCGACATGGCCCGGCCCCACGTCAGGGTGCAAAGCCCTGTTGTTTGTTATTGGACGATCCCCAGGTTGATCTTCGGGGTGGGGGGGGTTGTGATTTTCTTTTTAAAGAAACTTGGCATTTTATTACATCTACTTATAGACTCTAGATCAAATGCTCAGGAATGCGGTGGGGCGGGAGAGTCAAGCATGAAGTATGGAGGGTCAGGATGCTTGGGGGAGAGGGACGGAGGATGCCATAAAAGGAGTCAGCCCCTCTGTGGGCTCTGCCTTCTCAGAGCCTGGGACTCTGATGCTGTGTTTCCACACCGGGGAGTTGGGGCTGAGCTAAAAATGCATTTGCCTTGCGGAGCCCCTTGGGTTGAGGCGGGGGGGACCCCAACATCCAGCTTCCCTGAGGTCCCAGGCCAGCCCTGTGAGCTCCGAACAGACATCTCAGGGTCTCCTCAGTGGCTCACCTCCCTGATCAGATGTCCCCTTCCCAAGAGGGCTGATCAAGGTCCCTGTATTTATGGACACCAGAAGACCAAGCA